AACTGCAGCTGGGGCATCAGCCGGAAGGGAGTCCTGAATGAATGGAAGAGATTTTTGAAAAGCTAAATAATTTGAAGATAGTCAGATTGCTGCATCAAGACTGCAGATTGATCGAGGAGTTATACAACAAGTGTCCTATTGGAAATGGTTAAAGTAGTGCCAACGATTTTATATCGCAAATTTCCCTAAAAGCATCCGCGGGATTTTGCTGGAATCATATGATGCGTTCAAACAAGAAACTAAAAATGTAAAAAAATAGAAAATTAACGGTAAAACCAGATATTACAACCTGGAATAATGTTATTTGACCGTCAACTGCCTAACGAACTATTAGCCGTTTATATTATATATTTTTATTAAAACTTATTACCTTAACAGCTTTAATGTCCTCCATATTCAAGTAACTCTTGGCGCCAATTTTACGCAAAACATCTTTCTTGCTTTCTGGAGCATACTTTTCGAGCACTTTTAACTTCTTCCGGTCATCGTTCGTGACTATCCACTCCATATTCTAATCAAAATTCATCAGTAGGGATAATGACGGAGTAGAAAAATGAATAGAAATGGAAGTGGATTCGAAGAATTAGTGATACATAAGAAATAATGAACGGAAATGCGACCAGATACAACAAGAGTAAAAAGAAGAAAATAAATTATTTGATTCTTCCCACGGTGAACAGCGACACCACGACCAGAAATCACTCTGGATGCCGTGGACGATTTTGCGCGCCAATTGCATTTCGAAGCGCCAGTCGCAATTATCTAGATTTTTAAAACATTGTGGTACTCTTTATTAAGAATTTCTCATATATAAGGCTAAGTTGCTTTGCTGATTTCAAAGCTAAGATTTTTGAGTCTAGGAAATTTACAAATATCGTCTTATTTTGAAGAAAATGTCATTTTTCTATGAATTTCTTTCAGCAAAGCATGGGTCACAAGAGAAAAGTTGGCGAAGAGAATGGCGGTGATGTGACTTATTTGAATGGGGAAATCAAACCAGATAAGGCAATGTTTCAACCTAGAATTTCCTTTTTCTCTTCCTGTTCATGTCTTTTAAAGTTTGTTTGCATTGTTTAGATGTTTTTGAGCTTCTCTTTTTTGGAAACTTACCCGAACCCCTACTGGGACCACATCAATCCACAGAAAACTTTTACTGTCAAATCTTTAGGGGGAGTAGGGCGGAAGGCGACAAAATTTGGAAGATACTTACAGAAAAAATTCAATAAAAAAT